AGAGGCACAGGCCACTCCCACCCCCGGAGCAGCCCATAGATGCTGCTGATTTCTATTTTTCACTTGTCACAGACAATAACCGGTGACATTTTCTATTCTCTCACACCACTTCTTGTTTTATCAGACTGTTTTCTGTTCTGTGAATTAGAACAGCCAATGGCAGTTACCAACAGTTACTTTCTCAGGATGTTTTCCCCCTTTTGCAGACTTTTTTTTTTTCTTCTTGACCCTGCCGAGACCCCCCGAGAACTCTCCCAGAGTATAAGTTACTGTTATGGTTCCTTGTTATTCCACGTCTTAATGGTATCTTGGGATGTCTCTGGTTTCTTGGTACTCAGCTGCACTTCAAAGCTACCAGCTGTGCTCCCCAGAGATGCTTCTGGCCCCCAGGCCTGGTTTCCAGGCTGGCAGGCATTTATTTCCTCTGGCAGTATTTGAGCAGAGGTCTTCTTTTCCATATTTTCCCCTTAAAACCAGGTTACCTTTATGGCTACTCCCACCATCAGCCTAAAACGACACCTCTCAGCAAAGCAGAAATGATCAGGTGCAGGGACCGCTGCAGAATTTCCCAGTCTAAACAGTTGTGTTTGTGGAAGTGTCTTTCGTAGAGCTACTGTTTGTTGATCCAAAACAACTGCATTAGCATAGCTTCTCCTGCAGTACCCATTTGGGCTACACACAGCCTATGTCATTCCACCACACCTGTGCTCAGGAGACCATGCTATAAGCAAGAACTTTGCAGTTACAGTCTTGCTAGAGCTTCCTCCTGCTCTCTATACTGCCAGCCCCACCAACCCTGCAGTTTCAGCCCCTGGCTGTGTGTAGCATCAGCTCATGAGATACACACAGTTCAGAGGAGGACAAGGGTCACGCAGTAACAGAGAACCAAGCCCGAAGACAAAGTCACCCCAGACAGGCAAGCAGGGTCACCACTCCCAGCCTGCAAATGCCTGCCAAAAAAGTTAAGAGAAAAACCTGAAGCTGGAGCAGGCACCAGGCTGAGTTCTATTTTGCTGCAGTGTTCAAACACGAAGCTGTACTTGTCACTGTGGCACAGACAGACCAAGAACCAGCAGAGTGATTACAAACAAACCAAATACCCAGCCTGTCTAGCCCACAGGCCAGTTGTCTGCCTTCCAAAACAGACCATTTCCCTGAGACACTGACCTCCAAAACTCAGATCTGGGAACAAACTTCCGCTGGGTGTTTCACATTCCTTTGGTCCTGTTCCCTAAAGGCAATGTTTGTGTCACTTGCTAAAAAAAAATAATATAACCACAGCAACAGGCTTCCCAAGGAAATTTAAAGGGAAGTGATGCAGTTAATATTTTTGGGATTAAGTCTTAAACAAAATGTCACAGAATAAGCTGTGGAAACTCTGATATGACCTGTCAATTATTGGTTAATATAGCAATGTTGATACTGTGACATACAAATCATACTTTTAAGGCTAAAAGATTTAACTCTTCTGGTTTTAATTTGGTGCTGGTTTATCAAGATCTAGCAGGAATTTTAAGGCCAAGTCAAGCACTGTACGTAGGCAGTTATAACAATTAAAGTGCCCAGTCTGGGCTTTCTTGACACAGCACTCCTTGTGCTAGACAGTTACCCACAACCTTGGGCAGATAAGTGAACTTTTCACACAAATCCCAAACGCTACATAACAATTCCTTAATTGTTCCAGCCTGAGGTCCCTCATACAGTTCCCACTACAACTTGCTCAGAAAGAGCAGCAGGTCAGCCCTTGTTCTGCTGCTTGTAACAGGGTGCTCTACCTCAGTGGGCCTGGCTCAGCTCCCTTTTGGGATTCACTCTCTCCCTGTCTTTGAGTTTCTCTGCCCCTGGCCTGGAGTTGAAGGGTTCTCATGGGAAAGGGCATAGCAAACTTGGAACTGGTAACAACCTTGGAAGTACAAATATGAATGCAGAGATAAATGAAATAACTTGCTTAATGAGGGGAAAGACTTTTTTTGGCTTTTCCTTTGCTAACTTTTTGTTCTTCAATACAGGATTTTGGACGTGTAGCTAAGATGCTAAATGACAGCACCCAATCACTTTCTTCTGTAAAAGCCTAGTCCCGTCTTTCATGGGGGAGAATCCTGAATCTCATTCTGTCCAGTGGGGATGCCTGCTTGAGTGGTTATTCCTCAAGAGGTTGAGAGAAAGGGACACCTGGCCTTGGCCAAACAGAGGGTAAGAAATACCAAATCCCTCTCCAGGAGTTTTTAGTAATATCTTCATTAGCTAGCTTTACATCTTAAGAAAAGCTTTAACTTTTAAGCTTTGGAATTTTAAGACTTTATGATCCTTTTAAGCATAAGAGAAAAAAACCTGCAGTTGAATTATTACATTGTCTGTAGGTATTGTTGCATCATTGTTTTAGCCCCAGTGTGAGGCCTACAGATAAGTCAGTTTTTAGTACTCAACCGATCAGCATGTGTGTTACAGTTACTGCCTATTCGGTTATTGGGGTATTTTATTGTTGATACCTTCTTGTTTATTACCCTAATACTCTGTTTTGCCACCTCAATATCCTAACACACTTACATAATCTGATTTATGCCTTTTTAGTTTAATCTTTAAGATCCTTTTACTATTCACAATAAACCCTGTTTTGTGCATATACATCTCGTTTGCTATTTTGTCCCACTCAGGACACTGCAAGCACTGACAACACTTGGTCAGTCTCATTTCAGTAAGAAAAAGTGTAATATTTTTTTTTTCCTGTTATAAACCATACTACAGAGTAGATTAAGGATCACAATTTCATACAAACACCTACTTGCCAATGAATCTGAATCATGTGATAACACAGAAATTCAAATATAGCCTTATGCTTCTACCCCAGACTCAATCAGATCAGAGAGTGAATTGCAAGACTTTCAGATTCATATATTATGATGCAAATGAGTTTTGTAAATTGTGACCTAGTTCCCATGTTAGGAACAGTTGGGACCAACAGCAGGAACTGCATGATCAATGTGAGCAGCAGGGGCAAGCAAGGAAATTAACATTTGTTCTTAATTTGAAATGGATTTTTAATCACATTCAGGTGCCTCAAAGAAAGTGCACACGCTTGTTTATTATAATCACTCTGACAGAAGAATGCATAGGAGGAGGTAACATGTCTTCGTTTTGCTAACTGAAACGTTTGGGACACTGGTGTCAAATGAAGAGCCAGAGTGCAGCTCTTTCTGGATGATTTACTGAGTGCACGATGACAGACTGTGAAATGAGGTTTTGCAATCGATCTGTTCCTCAAAGAACTTGTTTTGAAAAGAAAATGAATTGCAAATATCCTCTAAAAGCAACTGGATGCTAGGATCACATCCATCTCTCCCAGTCCAGATGCTCTTTTTTTCAGCTGGAGGCCTGATGAACTAGTTCTCAGCAGATGTCACTCAGGGATTGAGCTGCAGAGATGTCAGCGACCCGCTTCACACGGCTCAGCGGTTAGTGGAAAACGCGGATCTCAACAGTCTGTTTGCACTGTGACAGTGAAGCTGAACTCCAGCCCGAACCAGCTAGCTGGTGAACTTTAAAGAGAGTATCAGCAAGAATGTAACTTTTTAAAAACCAGACAGAACCTCATGCTAGCCTATCTAGGTACCACCACTGGAAACGATTAGCTGTAGAAGAGTTAGGGCGTCGACTACTCTGAAAAATAGATTCTCGGCTCCCTCTGGTGGAAAAGCCTTGTTTCTGCTGCTGGCCTCAAGGCCTTCAAGGTAATTAAGATGGGATAGTACATAAATCCCAAATCCTCCATTCACTGTGGACTGGAACTTCATAGAAGTTTAGGTGAAGTATCACGACTCAGACTGTTGCAGGACGGCAGGGAAAGGCAACATACTCATCAAATCCCAGCTGCAGAAGGTGGCCAGGTGAGCTTTAACCTTTCCTGGATGGAGTTCTCCAGGTATAAATTATGGTACAGAGACAACTCGCGAACCAAATAGCCCCAAAGAAAACAGAACATCCCCTGAGTAAATTCTAATATTCTCCCCATAGTAACCACCTTCTAAGCCCATAAGCAGACCCTTCACCATGGGTAGTGGGTTGTCCCCAACAAGGTTGTCCATTTCTTAAGTCTTGCTGCCAACAGAACACTGTCACAAATACAAGAAGTGCAATGCAAAGCCCTCAGATCCAAGCCTGCATATCTAACAAAGGAAGCCTATGTGCTTTGCATCAGCACAGAAAGAGCAACAGTCCAGAACCACATCACCCTTGGTCTTTGCCTTCTTGACAGCAAGGAAAATTCAAGCCCATCTCCACCATACACACACTAGATATATTTAGTTATTCCATCCTTTCTAATAAAAACTAAGCATACAGAGTATGATTTCTACTTCTCTGTATTAATCATGAAGGGTGAAAAGTAATTTCTGGAAGTAGTCCAGGTATTGTCACAAAAAATGTCAAAAAAAAGAAGTATGTTTTTGTTTCTCCTTAGAGGAATCAACACTAATAAAGCACACAACTAGTTGTTCTGGCAAAATTCTTTATAGCTCCTGTAAACAGTGATGAGTAATTCCTACAGAAAGACTTTTATAATGGGTTCTGAAAACAGTATTTCACACTGCCAGAGCAGAACAGTTGCAGAGCCAAGGAAAGGAAAACAGTAGCAAAATGTTGTTATTAAACACCACATTATTTCACAGTGTGAGATGAATATCCATACAGGGTCCTTTGAAACAGCAGAACTGAGTAAACCTGCAGGTGAAGTTTATTAAACAGGAAAATATTGTGCCCACAGTCAGAAGGAATGTGAGCATGGAAAAGAAACAAGAGCAACAACAGCCTACCCTTGGAATGTTCTGTGCACCATTTTTCAGTAGAGAAAAGTTATTAAGGCAAAAACTGGGCATGAAGTCTTGCTTTCATAGATTCAAGTATCACAACTACCATGGCAAGTACAACTTGATCTGTGTATGTGCAATAAAAAACACTTTCGCTAGTAACATTGTTCTCCAAGGCAGCTTTATACTGGCTGAAGTGTCCATGTATTTAATGGGAAGTCTCACGATAATTGCAGCTCCACCAGCTTTGCTTACTGACCGGGAAAGTGGTCACCTTTCAGTCTTCTGCATGAACACCAAGCCTGCTCATGTAGCTCTCCCAAGCTGCCTTCCTGTACTTCTCTGCTTCTTGGAGACGGTCTGAAGCTGACAAAATGCCACGTCCCACAATGATGATATCTGAACCTTTTTCACCAATAACTTCCTTGGGGCTCAGGTACTTCTGTCCAAGGTTATCACCTGAAATAAAGGCATCATTTTTTTTTGAGCTGTTACAAAAATGTATCTAATAAAAACATGGCAAGAGATGCAGAGAACAGGTATGCTGTTCCAGCTCTCACCTGAAAAGACATAGCTAGAAACTGTCTCCAACTGAAAAATCCCACTTACTACACAGATGAAATTTGATGAAGAGCACCCTCTTTTTTCATTATTTACCAATCACAATAGATTAAACAGTTACACAAAGAAGCTACTGATCAGGACTACTGAAATAAACCTTAGCCTTCTTAAAACAGGCAAACCCCCCATACATTCATGTAAAAGCTTGTGATTTCACTTTAGGTTTCATAAGAATTAAGTATTGTGAAGAAACACATCTCCCCTACTGGTTCGGTGATAACCTGTTCAGCCAATGTAAGACTTCCTAGATACTGCATCTGTATCAGTATCAACAGGATTACAGTTAGATTTCTGTATTTGTTAAGTCTTTTTTTCTAGTCTTACTGAGAAGTTGTACCTCACCTAACACGTATTTGAAGACATGTTTCACATGTTTTAAGGACTGTGCTTTTAGGTATGCAGAGACCTCAGCACATGAACAAAGCTGGACAGCCTGCTGGTTGCCTTTCACGGCTCCCATGAAAGGCAAGAGTGTACCCAGGAATATAGATGGCAGCCCATAATAGCAAACATAGACTCCTCCTGCCAGAAAATCCACAACCAAACCCTCTTCAGAAGTCACTTTTTCACTGAAGACTAGATCACTTAATGTTTTTACAAACAGACTATAAATATCTCAGAAAAAAATTACCTCCAGTTTGCAGCTGCACCCCTGGAGTTAAGTGAAGAAATTCCGGTTTATTAGTAACTCTAGATCCAGAGATGAATCCAAAAACAAAATCTGAGTTGTCTTCAGCCATCTGCACCTGAAGATGATCAGTAAAGTTACAACTGACACAGCCAAAATAACCTTGACTGGCAATCTGGTTCTCATCCACCCTTTCACCTGATGCTGTGCAAGGCAGGGGTAGAAAACACCCCTTCTTGCTTTACAAAATGTTATGTTTCTTTCTATAAAATATTACAATAATTAATTTAAACTAATTAGACATTTATTGCTTAAGGAAAAAAAACACAGCGGAGGATCAACAGCAAATTTGGTGTGTTCACTAGAGTTCAGTGTGAACTCTGACCACCTTACACCACGAGCCTACACCTGCAACTTTTAGACACCACAATGTCAGATTCCTGAGTCTCCACAGGAAAAAAACCAACAACAATCTGTTGGAGCTGGAGACACTTCTGTAAGTGCAAATATTAAAGCACATAAAACCTCCCTGTTACAACACTTTACAAGCTTTTAACCCAAAACAAGACTTACTGCAGCTTTGGTGTATTCACCCGTTGCAAGAGACCCTTGGGAACTCATCTGGGCAACCAGGAGACAGCCACGCTGGAGAGGAAGACCTACTTCCTTCAGACCTTTCACAACTCCAGAGCCTGGAACCACGTGGGCATTAACCACATCTGACCAGGATGCGATTTTGAACACACCACCTGAGAACATTTATAGGGAGAATCAGGAAAAAAAAAAAAAAAGTGTTATTAGAAATGTAGAAAACAGGAAACACGAATTAAACAGAACCAGCTGCAAGCTAAATCAGTCACATTTTAAATGACAGTTTTACTGCTGGAGCTTGAGTTACAACTTCAGTCTCATCTGCCAGTCCCAACAGCTGCCTAACCACAATGCATAATCCCTCTGTTTTACTCCTCACAAACACTTCTTCCTATCTTGCCTTCATAAACATCAAGGAGGTTATGGTAACCTATAAACCTTCTGTCACAGGCACTACCTTTCAATAGAGCATGCTGATCATATGGGATGTACAGAGCAGAAAAAGGGAAAAAAATCATCCAGTGAAAGTAGCCACACTGTGTTTCCTCACAGCAAACAACTACTCACAAGTACTTAGTAAGCACAACCATAGCTTCCTAAAAAGGTCTAGGCTGGAAGGGACGTCCGGAGGTCACACCCTCTCAGAGGGCTCAACTTCAAAGCTAGATCAGGTTGCTCAGGCCCTTGTCCCCTTGACTCTTCTCCAAGGCTGGAGATCATCCACAATCTCTCCTGGCAACCTATGCCAGTGCTGCAGTTATGCACACTGGCAGCAAAGTTACAGTAAACCAAGCTTGATGATAATCACCTTCATATTGATGTTTCACTGTGTTTCCAATGTCTGCAAACTTCCTGTCTTCGAAAATCAAGAATTCATGTTGATCTGCGAGTGTTCTCAACTGCTTTACTACCTCTTGAGTAAAGTCATTCAGGATGTCTACATGAGTCTTCAGGATACAAATGCTGGGGCCCAGGGTGGCAGCCAACTGCAGCAGCTCTTTGGAGCTAGTGACATCAGCAGAAAGGCACAGATTTGTTTGCTTCTTTTCCATGAGGGTGAGCAGCCTGGCTGCAGTGGGATGCAGCCCGGGCAGCCCGGCACGAGCGCCAAAGCTCAGCTCCTTGCAGAGCCTCTTGGTGGGAGCAGGACCGTTCTGAGCCACTGGCTCAAATACACTTCCCTGGATGAATTCCTTCACCTTTTCAACCATCTCCACGGCCACTTCTCCTTGCTGCTGGAGAATCTCCAACACCCCAGACAACGTGCACACAGAGTGCAGGCGAATTCCATGTTCCTCTAACCTGGCCTTCCCACCCTGCTCCCTGTCCAGCAGCACCACGGCATCCGTGACTTTTAACCCTTCTTTCTGAAGAACTTCTGCAGTTTCCAGCACACTGGATCCACTGGTTACCACGTCTTCAATGATCAAGCATGTTTCTCCTGGGTTAATGGTGCCTTCCACCAGCCTCTTAGTACCTTCAAAATAAAAAGGCAAATGCTCCACTAAATGAAGGAAATTTAACAAACCCCCCAAAACTCAAAAGCATCCAAACTTAAACGTGCTATAATAATATAAAGATTTGCACATTTGCTCCACATACAAGCATAGCTGCAGCATATCCTGAAGTCCAGTGGAATTGGACCTTCCAGAGAATAGAAATTTCACAGCACAAAGAGGTTTTAGTTCAGTTGTCACAGTACCAGCTCAGTCACTGAATGTGATTCAATTAATAAAGACTGTTACTTCTCCAAGCTAATAAAAGACTTTTTCATGTTTCCAGAAGTTATACATTCCATTAACAAAGCTGAAATATTAAGTGCACAAATTAAACCTTTGCATGGCTACAGAAGTTTAATTATTGCCATGAATCGAGTGACCAGAATTAAAAAAACTCTTTCCTGCAGTTATTTAAAACAGCTTTAAAGGAGCCAAGTGCTCTTCAGCATGCTTCCCATTTCCCACAGGCAACATTCCCTGCTTAATGTGCCTGTTAGAACAATCAGGAGAAAAGCCCCAAGTGCCTTTGCCCTGACCAACAAGAGGCACATATCCATGAAAGGCCCCAGGGGGCAAGAACAAAGGATGCCCAGCATTCCCAGCAGGAAACCAGTGTGAACACCAGCAACCAGAGCCCTGCTTGGACCATGACAGCCCAGAGAGCCCCTGCAGCTTTTGCAACCCCTGTGACACCAGGAACCTTGTGCCAGGCAGTTAATGGCCCTCACAAGGGGGCCATTAGGCCTTGTGAGGCCATTAGGACTTGTCCTTCACAAGAAGGAACAGCAGACATCTTCATGCCTGACCCACACAGGAGTAACGTGTGGTTATGACAAGCATCCCTTCTAGTTGAACATTGTTGGAAAAGTATAGGTCATATCTCATGTATAAATCCAGCTGTTAAGGCAGGTTAATGCTCCAGTCTTCCTGCCCCTTCCTCTATCAAAATCAAATACATGGTCCATAGGGTAGAAAACTGATTGCTATGCTCATTGTCTACAGGACATGAAATAAAAAAGGGTTTGAGAGGTAAATGAAGATGAAACTAGAAAGGCTCCTTTTGGACTTGCAGGAAAGTTTGGTTTGGGGGGAGAAATGAGGCACTGATCTCAGTAGATCAGACAGATCAAGTTGTACATTTGAGTTTCTGGAAGAGGCCGATAACCCGGTACGGGTGCCAAGGGAATAAAAGGAACTGCTGAAGCCAAAAAAGAAGCACACACCCCTTTTCCAGAGTCTCCAAACCAGCAGGATCCAAGCTGCAGCCAAAGCAGCAGTCAGCTGATAGAGCCTGACCAGGCTGGGATGACGTGGGAGGTACATTTTTGGGGGGGAAAAGAGGCTGCTTTTTAAACTCGAGTGGGAGCTTTAAACTGGAATCCCATGTATCACACCAGAACCACAACATTTATAAAGTCATTTCCCAAACAAGCCAACAATCAGACCCGAATTCTTCACGTGGGGTTTTTACCGTAGTCTTTTGCTTCCTTTCTCCTGATAAGCATGGGAATCTGGTGCTCGGAGCAGATGATGGTGGCCAAAGGCAGCGCCG